GGTACCAGGCCAAAGCTTGAGGCAGCTTCCCCAGGGCCTCGTAGGCCAAAGCCACGTTGAAACACTGGTCTCCACGACCTCTGCCCTGTGCCTTCTCTGCAGGCTGGGCTCGCAGCAGCAGCTCCAGGCCTCTGGCTGGGTCCCCAGTCTCCACATAGGCGGCCCCCAGGTTGAAGGCACAGGCCCGGAAAACGGGGGTGTCCCGAGTTTGTGGGGGTTCAGAGGCCAGGACGAAGGCCCTCTGGAAGCAGGTCAAGGCTTCATGGTTCCGGCCAGCCAGTAGGGCTCCGTGGCCAGCCCTGGTGAGGGCTTGGATGCTGGCCTCGTGCTGCGGCCGCTTTCTCTTCTTCTTCTTCTTGGAGCTCGAGGGTTCAGGCTCAGGCCCTCGGGGCGCAGCCTCAGGGTTGGAGAAAGACATGGTGCTGACAGTGGGGAGCAGAAGGGTCAGTATGTTACCCTTGGCTTCCTCCAAAGCAGGATCCCTCCAGGGTGATTCAGCCCCACTCCCGCCCTACTATCACCTCGGGGTTTCAAGGCCTTCTCTCTGTCATTGTACTTTGCCTCAGTGATCCTCCCGGGGCCCTATCAAGCCTTCCTCCAATGTCCCAACTCATTCTTAGTCCTTCGGGACTAAGTAACAGTGCCCTCCAGAAAGCCTCCCCCCCTCGACCGTCTGGGTCCTTCTGGACTCCCAGAGCACCTAGGCCTGTGTCCTTCACGGCGTCGCTCATGCCGGGTTAAAGTTGTTGACTTTCTTGTCTGTCTCTCCTGCTAGGTCAGGGGAGATCTGAAGGGGCCGGCACAGACCACGTTCTGCGTAAATGTTCACGGACAGAGATGGACACAACCATGCGAGCGCACTGGGAACCCGCTTAACAAGGGAAAAGCCATGTAACATACGTGTTAAATACACGTTCCCACGCCCACACAATCCTCACTGAGGGAGCGAAGGAGTAGACAGCAGAACGTGCAGGGCCTCTGCCCGTCGCCTCCTTCCTGTTGTTCCTCCCCGGACACCCAGCCACTCACAAGGATGGGTGCTCCTGCTGCCTGATCCCAAGGTGTAGATCAAGCCAGCCATCGGTGAGCGCCTGCTGCGTACTCGGGGAGCGCCTGCGGCATATAAGCAGCCACCGGGCACCAAGGACACGGAGCCGAACGGGCTAGTGAGTTGGCAAGGAGGCAGCTTGGCGGGCAGAACGCTGTCTCTCCCTTCACTGCCCACGCCCAACCTCAGGGTCCTCTTCTCCGTGGCCGGCTAGTCCTGGTCCCCCAGCACCCTGCGGTGGCTTCAAATATGCTTTTCCCCACCAGGATCTCACCTCTCCCCTGGAAAGGCAAAGAGAGCCTTTTCCTGAGCTCTCCTCCCAGGAGCTGGAGAAAGGCGTGGCAAAGACTCAGGCCTGGGCTCTCAGCCCCTCTCCTCTCCTTTGTCCTTCCCCCTCTTTTTTAAGAGAGGCAGGCAGAGGTGATCCTCCTTTTAAAGAAATTCCCCGTGACCAAGAATACCTAGGAATCTTGCCTTCAAGGCCCTCATCCGTGGGGCGTCCCTAGCTACCCCCTACCAGGCCTTGGGGCCCCAGCCACGGGATGCCTTACCTCCCTCGATTTCTCTGTGGCTGGCCTTCTGGAATGGTCCCTCTGGCTTGGGTTACCTGGCCAAGCTCTGAGCTCAGAGCCCTGGGGTTACCAGACAACCAGGTACCGCCCTCCACCCCTAGGAATGTTTTGATGGACAGCTCAGGCGCCCTATCTTAGTGCTGCGCCACTGACAGCGGTCAGGGTCAGGCACGGTTACCTGCATTCCATTGCCCTTCCTGTCCCCCTCACCCCTGCACACACCCCTCATGCCCCTCCCTGCAAGCAAGGATTCAAAGCGTGCTGGCTTGTTACCAGTTATGACCTCAGGGATGCTCTGTCCCGTGCTGTCACTCTCTGGAGGAGGGGACCGGGCTCAGGAAGCAGATGGGACCACCCCGAGGTCACAGAGCAGTGGTGAAGCTGGGATCAGACCCCGGAGTCTCTGATTCTGGGCTAATCAGCCTCGGGTTCTTTCCAGTGCACTGTGATTGCAAGCGTTAATGAGGCCTGGACTGCTCTAGAAGTGAACCCTTCCACACGCACACAGACACGCGCGCTGGGACATTTCACATTTGGGAGTGGGGTTAAAGTTGATGGTTAGAAAGGGCCTGGAGATCAGAAGAGTCTCTTTGCTTTCCCGGTCCTTCTCCCAGCTCCGCTGATCTGCAACCTCCATGTTCTGCTTAATGAGAGGACAGTGGGCCCCAGGACGACAGGTGCCTGCGGGGCTAACCCAAGCAGGGTGGCCTGCAGCAGAAAGAAAACATCCTCATTTCCTGGCGGAGAGGTCTCTTTTAAGTAAAGAGGCCTTTGCCAGAGATAAAATTACCAGGAAGCCACTGGGCCCCCCTGTACTGGGCAGCCTTTGCTGAGGACCTGCGTCATGCTGGGTGCCACATATGGGGCCCACGGCCAAAGCAGGCTTTCTTGGCTGCCACCGCTCCTGCCTGCAGGCTGGCCTCCAGGATGCCACCAGAGCCTGCCCAGGGCCAGACAGGCAGCTCAGGCCGTGGCCACTCAGCAGGCTTCCCTTAAGGATAAAAGCTTGGGGAGGGGGCAGGGACTGAAACTATGCTTGCCAAGTTCCGCTGACCTCTCCATGTCCTAGGGACCCTTTCTGAATCACCTGCTTGTTTGGTTTCCACTTTAGGTGATGTATCCTTGCAACTGTCTCCTCACTTGGCCTCCAGGATCCACTGTGTCCCGGATCCTTCTCTTCCCTGTTCTCCTTTGCTGTCCCTGTCCACCCTTGAATGCAAACAGACCCCACCCATCTGCCCTTTGTGTAGACACTTCCATGAACGCTCCATTCAGTCCTCTGACTTTCCTACTAATGATAAGCCCGTCATTTCTAGAATTAGATTCTAGACTCGGCTTGCCCATGCGGAATTCCTGTTTCCCCCCATCTACCCATCCCCTGTTCCCGCCATCAGCTGGAACCATGGGAGGCATCCTTGACCCCGTACTTGGTCCTACTGGTTCAACCTCTGAGCCCTCTCCCCATACAATAAACACTCAGTGCGTGTCATTGCTGCGTGTGGTCCCTAACGCCGGTATGCAAGAAATACTCTCCTTTGGCCCTGTTTCCGGCCCCTGTTGCACTGGGATGGTGGAGACAACGTGAGTCAGCTGGGTTGCCCCCCTCCTATCTCCCACGGTGGAGGCCAAGTTGGAGGGAGTATGAGATGTTAAGACTTGAGAGGGAAGGCCCGTTAGGTCCTTAACCGTATCCTTACAATCCACTTGGGCCCACAGCCCAAGTGGAAAAGGGGGTAACTCATCCGGGCACTTCCTTTCTGGCTGGGTCCGGGGTTTCTGTACATAAGGGCCTCATTACACCACTGTTCCCTGTGAGGGTCCAGCTGCCCAGGTCCTTCCCGGAAAGCAGGGAGTGGGACCTCTATCAGCAGGAGTCTAGGTTCTCACTACTTCCCTGCGTGGAGAGCAAAGGAGACCGGTTCTGGTCTCAGGGAACATCCATTTTCCCCACATGTCCCACCATTTTGTCTCAACTCTGAGTCTCCTCTGCTCCTCTGAAGGTTTGGATATTTTCTGTTTTCTGCCCCTTCAAATCTCTCGCTTGAGGCTAGGAGCCTAGGCTGCCTTGCCGCCTGACTGGGCATTGGTGGGTGGGTGGGAGGGCAAAACGGAAGCTACCAGACGGGGGACGCCGACTAGACGATGTGGCAGAAAGCTGTCATGATTATGTTTACTAGTTCAGACCTCACTGTCTCTCGTCTGCACTGCAGCTGCCCGCTCTCAGGTGCCCTCTGCCCCAGCTTCACCCTGCTCCGAGCTCCTGCTGCAGAATCTTTATAACATGCAAACCTGACCTTGACCTGTGTGTACTGTGTTCTTTGGCTCCTGGCTGTTCCCCGGCGCCATCCCGACGCCTCCGCCTGCTGCCCGCCACTGCAGCCCTGCCGGGCCCCTCCAGGCTCTCTTCGTCCCTCTCCCTCTGTACAACCACACTCGCTTGTCATTTCCCGAACTCCCTCCGCACTCCTGCAGGTGCTGTTTCACTGACTGAAATGCCTCTCTCCTGCTGGCTGATGTATTCTTGCTCCCTTTCCAACCCAGATCAGCTGCCACCTCCACTAGGAAGTCTTCCTGTCCTTCACTGCCCTTAACCTCATTACTGCAGTGACCTCATCCCTCTGAATACCCCCGAGCTCTAATGTGGTGGACTCTATGTCGGTCGCTCTGTCCAGAACAGCAGCTTTAGGGCATGAATTATACTGACTTTTTAAAAGATTGTATTGTTGTTTTTTAAAGATTTTATTCATTTATTTGACAGAGATCACAAGTAGGCAAAGAGGCGGGGGGGGGGGGGG